AAGAGTGTGTATTTATTTTGACAAGGTTTTTATGAGAGTTGTAGAATTTTTTTCTCATATTCGAGGTACTTTATAAGAAATTGTTTTAAAATGCTGAAATCAAGCATTTCATAAATCTGCAGTTATATTCTCAAAGCAAGAAAGGCAAGCAGCTGCCCATACAGTGCAGAGAAGTGGGAACACCAGGAGAAGCTCAGCTGCATAAGGCACTGGACAAGTATTCTGATTGTAGCCTTTGTCCTGCTTATTGTTTAGAATATAAAGTGCAGTTTTGCACTTTTTCAGACCTAAGTTAGATACATTTATACCACAGATGTTTATCCAGTGCCTGTTATGTACCAGACACTATTCTGTGTACTTTATTATAAAGCGACCAAAATGTGTACATGCTTCCCATAGCCTATTAAAAGCACAGTCTAAGAATAAGTTTGTTTTTCTATAACTTTTTAACTACGTTTGATTCATCTAGACTGTTCATAATGTACTTGTTAAATTGCATAGTGATTAGACAATATATCTATCTACTCAGCTTGCATACATCATTCTGTACAGAATCATGTTAATTAGGTATATAGCTGATAACGGTAATAGGAGTACTGTGGATTCAAATTATTTAATAATACTTCATTATTAAAATGAAAACAAATTTTTTTTTTATAATGGCTTGAAATTGTTTTTTATTTCTTTACTGGGTAAAACAAAGGATGTGGGGTGTGTGGATCACTGTATAGTGACAGAAACGTTTTTTAAAGGCTATCCCCCATTCCACACCCCTTGTTCTTCTGTTAACTTTCTATGTTAGTTTTATGCTAGCTCTTCTTTCTAGAGAGCCCTCTGCTGTGTTTCTTTTGTTTTTTTTGTTGTTGTTTTTTGGGTTTTTTTTTTGTCCTGTGTGTAGACAAGGAAGGTTAGTGTAGAAATCAGGGAAGAGAAGGTGAGGGGAGCCCTTCTTTTTATTTCTTTCATTACTTTTTCTATATGATATGGAAATGGAGTAGTTGGTAAATTACATGAAAAAATACTTGATAAAGAACATGAGGAATACTGTGCTACGCTGTGCTTTTAATAGCAAACTAGGTAGTAGTAGAAATGTTGCAAGAAAAAGTCGAGGTGGTGGGGTAGATGGCCACCAAAGGGAAAGTGTGGAGAAGAATGCTCCCGATAATAAGCTATAGTTAGAGAATCCATTGCCTGACTAGAAGGCTAAGGTTCTTAAATCATCTCCCCACTGGTCTCTTCTTAGGGAACCTTAGGGAAGAAAGAATAAAGTAATCTTTGACTCTCATTCCTAGATCTTTTTGCTTTTAATCACAATTTCTGAATGAGCATAAAACACATCTCAGTCTCGCATCTCCCCAATGGCACAAAATGTAACAGGCCCATGGACTGGGTAGCAAGACCACACTTGTCCCCTTTGTCTGCTGTTATACTCTACAAGTTGATTCCATATGTACCTAGACCATAGTTTTAAATCTTCTGTCTCTTTAGACTAAGCTGACTCCTATCTACCTCTGACCTCTGATAACCAATAGCTTTTCTAGAATTTTCATCCAGCATTCTGAAAACAGAATGCACTTGTAATGATAATACAGTTCTGTTTAGGATTTTATTGCCACAATTTAAAACTAAATCAATACTT